TTTTGTGGGGTTTGGGGTGAATTTTGTGGGAATTTTGTGTGGATTGGGGAGGAATTTTGGGTGAACTCGAGGTGGATTCGGGGGGAATTTTAGGCGGATTTTGGTGGCAGAATTTGGGGGAGATTTCGGGGTAGATTTGGGTGGATTTTGGTGGAATTTGGGGAGGATTTTGGTGAGATTTCAGGTGGATTTGGGGGGGGGAACTTTGGCTGGATTTTTGCGGGATTTCGGATGAATTCCGGGGGGAGTTTTTCTGTGGAATTCTGGACGAGTTTTGGGCGAATTTGCGGGGATTTCGGGGGAGTTTGGGGGGGATTCTGCGGGATTTCGGAGGCGTTCGGGGCGAACTCGGGGAGGGTTTCTGTGGGATTTGGGGAATTCCCGGGGGGGGCTTCGGGACCAACTCTGAGAACCTCGGCGGAATTCCCGGTGCCTTTCGAGTGTGTTCGGGGGGGGTTTCCCAGGAATTCGGGGTCAGAGGCTGACGCTCCGGTGGTGCCGGAGGCTCCGGCGCCGCTCCCGCTCCCCCGGCTCGTCGCTGCCCAGGCTGGCGGCGTCCGAGATCCCCACCAAGTGTTCCACGGAGTCGAACTTCTGCAGGTCGGAGGCGACGGTCTGGAGGCTGAGCACGGACAGGGAGTCCCCGGCCGGACACTCCGCCCCCAGATCCGCCCCCCGCGACTCCGGGCTGGGGTGCCGGGGGCTGCTCTCGGCCCCCACCGGGGATTCCCGGCGCTGGAGGAGCCTCTGGAGGCGCCGGGCGTGGATCTGCTCGCTGATCTGCTCCAGGTTCCGCAGGGCCACCGAGTAGCGCGTCTTGGCCTGGGAGACGCGGCTCTCCAGGGCCGTCACCTTGGACTTGTGCTCCTGGGAAGGGGGAGAGGGAGGGAGGGGTCAGCGGGAGGGGCCTGGGAATCCCTTGGAACCCCCGAAAAATCGGCTGCGATTCCTAAAAATTTGGTTGTTATCCCCAAAAAGTCAGGTGTGGTCCCCTGAAAAATCGGTCGTGATCCCTAAAAAATTGGTTCTAATTCCTAAAAAATTCCTTCTGATTCCTAAAAAAATCGGTTCCAATTCCAAGATCTGGTGGAACTGGAGCTCCCAGTCCCTCTCCCAGTGCTCCCAG